AAGAATCAATAGGTTTAAACACGGCGCACCTTCAGTTTAACAAACCTCAGCTGGATGTTTTCATGCACCTAATGCTTTGTTACACTCTGCATGGAAGGTCATTTAAAAAAAAAACATAATAGGGTCTTAACTAATTGAAGTGGATTGAACATAAAACAATTCATTCATTCATTTTCTTTTCGACTTAGTCCCTTTATTAATTTTGGGGTCGCCACAGTGGAATAAACCACCAACTTATCCAGAATATGTTACACACAGCGGATACCCTTTTAGCTGCAACCCATTACAGGGAAACATCCATAAACTTCTTTACACTCATGCACTCGGACAATTTAGCCTACCCAATTCACTTGTACCACATGTCTTTGGACTGTGGGGGAAACCGGAGCAACCGGAGGAAACCCACGCGAATGCTGGGAGAACATGCAAACTCCAGAAACGCCAACTGACCCAGCCGAGGCTTGAACCAGCAACCTTCTTGCTGTGAGGCGACAGCACTACCTACTGCACCACTGCGTTGCCTAAAACAATTCAGTTGTGCCAAAAAAATCTCATTAATAGTGTTGTTTTAGCTAATTTTGAATAAGTAATTTGAACAAGCAGCAGTATAATTTTTAGACTGTATAAAATATTTTCTCACAAGACTAGGCTAACACATTTTAAATATTCAGTTTAAATAATCTCGATAACTGCTTGTGCACGTTACTGTCGTGAAACCTTAAAGGTCGAGAATATATGCATCGAATATGTTGTGTGCTATGGCAACTATGAGAACTGAAAGAGCTCTGAAAATGAGACACAGCTGTTCACAGTGAGTGTAGCTTTGGTTTTTAGAGTTCAAAGCAATAATAAATAAAAGTAATTTAATATGTTGGGGGAAATCTTAAATACAATTTTAATAAACAAAAAAAATCAACATAAACATTAAAAATATTTAAAGATTTTGTTAAAATGTTGTAGTTTATGTTAGAATAACTGATTTGAATTTAAATGTATAGCCTATATTGTTCTATATATTCTAAAAGATGTATGATGTATATATATTTACTATTAAGTGACTATAAAGTTTTAATTATTATTAAGAGGTTAAGTAGATTAAAATGGCTTCAAATTACCACAGGCGAATGTTAACATTACTTTGATTAAGCTTGAACTTAAGACTTCGCCTGAGAGTTAACCTGCCCCAAACCAGGCTAGTTTACCAACATAAGTTGCCAGAGTAACTAGTTTAAACTATCATAAATCTGATCTATGAAACCAAATCCGCCCTTAATAAACCTGACTTACTTGCTTTTTTCTAAGCTTTGTTTATGGAACAGCACCCAAATCTTGCAGAATGGCTGACTGTTTTGTATTCATGATTATTAGTGACACCAGTGGCTGATAAATGAACTGCAGTCAACAACATCGGCAGTTGGCACTGATTGAAGAAACTATTTTTGGGTACACTAGATTTTTTACATCTTATAAGATTTTCAAAATGTTATAGATCACAAACATGTGGACAAAATTTCTAGATTGCATCAGTTTGCTTGTACAGTGTGTAGTGTGCCGTGATTAATGACAGCACATTCTGTTGTCCAAGTCCATTTGAACACTTGAAGGAGTGAATAAAAACAAGTGAGGGAATTCGAGCACTCAGTGAACAGGAAGGGATGCTGTTTTATCTGTGTTTTTCTTGATAAATCCCTCAGATTAGATTTTAAACTTCTTGGTCGGACCAGGTGACAGTTACTTAACACTTAACTTAGGATTTCACTGTGGTCAGACGTGGAAATTACTTCAGTGTGCGAATTCTCTCTGTACATTTTGTGTATTTTCAAGCTTGCCACTCAATTTTGCAGTGCATTGTGGGATTGACTAGGTGCACTTCAGGACATCCCCTATGGTTTCGGACACCGCTAAAAATGGCTGCTCTCTCTAATAGTGCACTATTTAATGACATAGAGGATGATTTCAGAAATAACCTTTGTTCTGATTTCGTCTTCTGTCAGCTTACTTTCTGATTGGATATTGTTTTGTTCACATGATAACATCTGACTCATATGTGCTTTTGTCCTCAGGGTTCCCCCCACACATCAGGATTTCTGATAATTTTCTGATCACGATTCAAGATTGGAGGGCGTTCAATTTTAGGTCACTCTTAACAAGCCTCACACCACACTTTTAAGCTTTAGGACCACCAAGATAATCGGGACATGATTGTTGAAGGGGAAAAATCTTCTCAAAATCAGCCCAATTATCTTGTGGTGCATACCCAGTGTTCGCTTTTAGAAACGTTGAATCAACTGAATCATTACGCAAAAAGCAATTGAGTTCACAATTTCCAGTTGTTATAGAACTACCACAAACTGGGGGACACCTGCTGTTCACAATTGGTAAAACATGTAAATTCTAAAATTGTTACATAACAAAGCTTCATTTAATGAAAAAATCTATCCAGTTTAGGGGTTCGAGTGGTTCGGAAGACCCACCTCTCATAGACAAAAGTCCAGAATCTGTCCCATACATGAACTTGTTTGTCCTATTTTGACTGCTATGCCATCATAAATAGTGAAAAAACGCATCAATAAAGGCTTTAAAACCAAGCAGAATCATCTGTTGGCTGTCGCTTTAGCGAGACTTCAGCTAATCATTTTTGGCCAATGCTAACAAATATTTTCATGTAAGTGAAGTAATATTTCACTACTGTATTGTTTGTAAATATAAAACAAACATTTTACAAGTGACTTTTATTCAAAATTTTGATACTCATTCTTGAAACAAAAAATGACCAATGAAATAAGTGAAGTACCAAAAGTGAATAATGTTAAAATGATTTTGAATACTATTTTGGCTATTGCCGGATTAAGTACACATTGGGCCCTGGGGCTATAGCAAATCCAAGGGCCCCCCTTCTAATTTATATATATATATATATATATATATATATATATATATATATATATATATATATATATATATATATATATATATATATATATATATATATATATATGTTGTTGTTGTTGTTACTATTATTATTATTAATTTACTAATTATTATTATCTAATTTTACACCATTTGAATTATATTTAAGTATTATATATTTTTTCTATTTAATTAAAAATGCCTGCAAGTAGTAATAACATTACATGAACTTTAAGGTTCGAACAGGCTGCAAAAATCGACAACAAAACAAAAAACATATGCAATACTTCCTAAATTAGTGCTTTATAATAAATACTTTGAATAGAGGTTTACCTTTAAAACGTTTCTTTAGAACTTTATAAATCCTAATGACTTAATATCTATAATATCCATGCTTCTAATATCCAAAATAGCTTATTGTGATCTAGCATCCTTATTTTATTTATTTATTTATCAAGAAATGTTTGCATCAAATATAATGTCAGATGAAAGTCAGCGCCAATATTTCATGGCTCCATATTACTGATATCATAAAAGCGGCAAAGTAAACATTCATGGTAAAAAGTTTGATTTTTAACTAGTTCAGTTAGACTTATTGTAAAGCATAACCGAGTGCATTGACTTGAGATAGACACTCCGCAACGATGAATATTTTGATAACTGCTCGTTTAGGCTATTTGATTTGTTGGCACACTATCTTGCTTATATTGTGTGATGGAAGGATTGTGCGGGCGCGCGCTGGTTTGATTCCAGCTGTAACCGCCGCGCGGCCGAGACAGCGCTTTAGTTGAGTCCATTCAGCGTAATTCCACATATCACAGCTTTTGTTACTACATGTACAAGTGTCCCAATGATGACTGTTTGAATTTTTTTTTTTTTCACTACGAGCTTGATTAGCCTACCTTTGACTGGACGGTTCTTGCCATACTGCCGTGATAAGGGACTGTCGTAGGAAAACTGTGACATCTGACCACCCTTATGGGTGACAAACAGGGCTATTCGATATTCTGATTGGGCTACAGCCACTTTTACCCCCCGCCAGTTTGGCACCGGCATCACTGTTTTTGAACAGCAGCGAACCAAAAGGAATACTTCACATTATTGACGAGAGAAAGCATAGCGCATGAGGCATTTCCCGCGTCATATCGCAAATTAATTCTTCAGCCAATCAAGGGCCCTCTTCTTCCATGGGCCCTGGGGCTTCAGCCCCACCTAGCCCTTACATTAATCCGGCCCTGACAAAAACATCAGTTGAGAAAGCATGAGATCATAGTTATTATTAAATATGTTTGAGAAAAGTCTTTCAACATATGAAGCAATTAAAAAAAGGATTTGAGTAAAGGATATTTCACGTTGTAAAGGATGTGAGACTGTGGTGTGAATTTTTTTTTTTCATCTTTGCACGACTTTACAGTTGCCTATACTTTGACATCATATAATTGAAAAAAAAACATCAGGTAATCACTGTTGAGATTAATATTAATAAAATGTTCAGTCTGCGTGAACCGGACATTTCTGAGACTTTTATTGCGGTATGTAGAGTAGAGGCGGGGCAAAAAACTAACGGTTAGAGGGGCGTGGCTTTCAATATTCAAAGTGCCATCAACAGAGATTCGTCACAGTAGTCCATACAAGGAAGCAGTGGGTCAGGCTGTCAGACCTTGGTTGAAGATGACCAAAAAAAGCATTTTATTTTTCCCAGTGGGAAAGGAACTTAAAACATTTTAAACTTTGATTTCATGCGGACTTTAAACGTTAAATGTCAGAACGTTTTGTTTACTTCTCTATATTAAACCACAGACCGACAGTTGAAGCCCCAAAATCACTCGGAAGCTATAAATAGAAATCTTTCAAGCTAAACTAAACACAAGTCTATTGCACCTAACCGCTAGGGCCACCGATGACACAAACAAGACCTGACCCGTGTCATTTTAAATATTGCCCTTTCTCATTGACTCGTTTTTGGAGACGTCACCCACTCGCCAGTCTAATCCAAAACAAAAGTCCACGTTTGCAGGAGGACGTCTCGAGGTTGCGGGGCGATAAACCCCGGGTGGTCAAAAACTCACTCATTTAAATAGTCCTGCCGTATCAAGAATAACCACCCGCTTAACTGCTCCATCACGAGCTACAGGGAACGGGTTGCCTGGAAACGGCCGCATGGCAACAGGATCAGAGCCGGGGGGTTGTGTCTGCTGCCAGCTCTGCTCCCGTTTCCCATTTCCTCACTAGATGGTGTGCAAGCCACTGGAGAGTCGACTTCCTCCCGCGGTCAGGTTCCGATCAAAACAAATCTGGAAAACTACACGGAACGCCATTTCTCGGGGTCTTCGCGGAGGATTAATATATTTTCATCCAGATATTTATATTTTTATTTTTGATAACGGCGCGGATCGTACTCCACTCGGCGGTGATGGACATAATGATTGCAGTGCAGGATGCGTGCGTCTCCGGTCAGTGGCTCACCGCTATAATTCTTAGTCTTTGCTGCTTTTTACCGTCGTGTTTGCCCGCTGGACAAACTGTGGACTATACTACGTCCAGCGAGAGTGTGGTCAGCAGACAGGGAGACACCGCGCTGCTCAGGTAGGAGGATCAAGTTGAAACTAAACTTGGCTGGCACCTGCTTCAGCCGCTCCGCTCTCAGTTTTGTAAACAACACTCGGCGGCTGATCCCCCTGTGCCGCTCCGTCACTTTTATTTGGGTCACAAACCTTCCCGTGTAGACCAGAACAGGTTGGGACTGTGATGATTTTAACGAGATGCTTTCTGGTTCGGGAGATGATTGAGTTGGCTCGCTTATAGCTTTGTAAAGTGCATAGGATGCTCTCTATAAGGGGTTGCATAAGGAGCTGGGGATGGATGGGGGTCGAGTTTTGTAAACCCCGCCAAGCGGAACACTTTGCACAATTACAATGAAGTCATTCATGATTTTCAGCGTCCGAAAGAGGCTCGCTGATTTTGCGTCCTACAAAATAAAGATGGATAAGTTGCGCAGAGTTTTGCGCGAGATTCATGTCGAATTTAATACATCGGGAGTTTGTATCATTTTTAAATAATTAATTCAATCAATCTGCGTTCACTTTTTAAGGGTGTGTCAGACTGTAACTGCAGGTGTCTTCTCAAACCTAAGTTTTTATTTTATTCCTTTAAGTTTAAAAGGTCTACTCTTGGCGTTTGCTCTTGGATATCATGTTTAAACTTAAAGAAAATGTCTTTTCATAACGTCAGATCCCAGCTGTTTTCCCCATTTGAACAGCCGGTGTATTTGCCACATTAAGGATTAATCTACTTGTAATCTAGGCTACATAAAAGCCCTGACATCCATTTACAGCATTAGATGATATTTTATAGGCACAAAACTTGGTTTTGATGCAAATTTCACTCCCTTTTCAACATATGTCCCCCTTTTCGATTCTAAATATATTTTAGTACAACGATGGGAGATCCGATTCCGAGAATCGGTTCTTTTGAACAACTCGTTTTAATGAACCTGTTCAAAAAACCTTTTAGCAATTCTTTACGTAAGTGCGTCAGCACGTGGTCCCATGTTAGTGTATAGGTGCATGCTGCTCGTTATTTATTCATGTGGATGAGTATGTGTGCATTGCAGTTAGGCTAAGTTTGTTACATCCGAGATTCAAACACTTAAGCGTTTTTGGCTAAAACGTTATTTGTGTTTCATTACATCTCTCGATTAAGTGTTTTACCATTAATATCTGATATTTATACAAACAAACTTCCAGGTGACTCATCTTGAATCCTTATGAGACGATTCTCTGTTCAAAGAGTCAGTGGCTCCAGAACTGCTCGAAGTGATTCAGATTGATTCGTGAACTAATCGATCAAGTCCTTTTTATTGAACTGGTTCAAGTGATTCATTGAAAAGATCCGACTGTGAAAAAAAACCGTCCGCAAGACGCATCAATGAAGAGTAGCTATAAAGCAATGTTTAAACCATTGCTTTCTCAAATCTCTGAATGTTTACTGTGTGTGAGGTATTTCAGTACTTGGGTATAGGTTGTTATATTAGCCTATCAATCTGTGTTATTGTGTCAACGCTTGAAACTACACCCTTCATCACGACGTCACTATTTTTTTTCGAGTTGAGCTTTGAAAAAGCAATTAGACTACATGGTTAGTCTGTTCATTCCTCCACACAAAATTGTTTGCTTGGTTTAAAATGATGGTCTACTTCAACCACTAGCAATGTGTAATAGCAGTCGATTCAAACAACCAGGAAGCCTTGATTGTTATCTTTTCTTAGTCCAGCTCTGCCTAAAATACACCTTAAATGTTTTTATTTTTGTATTGTTGCTACATTTTCAGAAGTGAAGGCACTTATGCCAACTCATTTCAACGTGACAGCATTATTGTATCTCAGAATTGGGTAAAAAAAAAATTGTAATAGGAGGCTATTGTGTACTTTGAATGGGGTTGTCATGACTGTCCCAGATGCCCAGAGATTGTCAGTATGTGGTCTTGCGAATGCTTGGTGCCTGTTCTTAAAACATGTCCCTCACCAGCATCACTGATACGCTGGGTGGAAACCTCCTTTTCTCCTCAGGCCACGCCTTTTACTGTCAGTGCTTATTAATCGGAAGGATTCTAGTGTGAGATTTTCTCCTCTGTTTTATCTCTTCTGTTTTATTGTTGACCCGAACAGCAACAATACTGTCCTCTGCTCTGTAAAATATTTAGTGGGTATGGTAGCATCATTGCTATTTTGCTGAGGTACAGTAGTTATTTCAGAGAGATCGCATCTGTTGTGTCAGCATCAACAATCCCATAAGAAAAAAAACAAACATCTTTTGAATTTTAAATGCCAAATGCTCAAAAAATTAATATTGTAGGTACTGAAGATTTGACTTTTTCAAGTGTATCTAATCTTTTTTTATCCTTGGCAGTGATGGGCTATCAAGCTGAAGAGCATTAATTATGAGGAATACTGTGATCCTCTTTAAATGGTTCTTCTTGGCTTTGTGCCAGTGATCCCACGTTTAATATTTGCTGTTTGGCTCCAGTGTATATTAGCATATACAGATAGCAGTGGTACTACAGCTCAGTAATATGATGGCTTTTCTTAGAGAATAATTTATGGTTATATATTGGAAGATCTAGTATTTAGTAGATAGGAAGTCAAAGTAAATTCTGTGTTGTATTACATCCTGCTCTTGTAAATATAGATAGCCCTGGATAGTAAAGGTAATACAGAAAGCTATTAGAAACCAGGAACTTAACATTAGGTATCTGACATTTACCAGCCGTGAATACCAGAAGGCAAGATGTAATATTGCACTTTTTCTGTTTGAAAGCCACTGCTGGAATGTATACAGTGAATGAAAGAATGTAGTTACCTTGTGAAAGAGTAAAAGCGAAGGTGCATGTGTGTGTGAATGTTTGTGTGAGTATTCAGTATACAGCATGTATGTAATACGTGTGTGTGTGTGTGTGTGTGTATATATATATATATATATATATATATATATATATATATATATATATATATATATATATATATATATATATATATATATATACATACAAATATTGTCATTTAAAGCATTTTCTTTTTCTTTAAATGATGTTTACACCAAATATTCATTTATTAACTCTTCTGAAATTATAGTTTCTTTTCTAAAAATAAACACAAACATGTCTAAAAAACATGGCATTTCTACTATATGCTAAAGACTGCCACAAATAAAAATGCCATCAGCAGATTTCAAGTGGTCTGTTATATATTTCCACTATACACCATACTCGTTCCCTTAAAAGAACACTTCATCAGTCTTTATGATCATTTTCCTTCAGAATCATCCCAATCAATCAAAATGAATACATTTGGTAATACTTTAGGGACCAATTCTCACTATAAAATAATTGCTCATTAGCATGCCTATTATTGAGATATTGGCTGCGTATTAGTACACGAATCATAAACTAAATATTCTGCATGATCTTATTCTACATCCCTTACCCAATGCCTAAACTATCTATTAGTAAGGAGCAAATTAGGAATTTGTTTTTTGAAGCCAAAGTCATAGTTAAAGGATTGCTAATTGCATGAAGTGAACGTTAAATAAAGTGTGACTACAAATTCTTTCCAGATAGTGCTGTTCAATCACTTGGTGAAAATGTAGATACAGTAATCCGTAGGGCTGGGGGATTTTGGCCTAAAATCAAAATAAACATTTCTACTATTATTAATGAACTATTATTTTATTTATTTATGTTTTTTTTTTACTTATTGTTCACTGAAAAGTTTTGAATAGTAAATATGCTCACATATTACAAGTGAGTGATTTTTGAATGATTTTTGAGTGCATTATTTGATTTTAAAATAACTGAAGCACACACTATTGCTGGTTAGTGGTTCATTCCGCTGTGGCGAACCCAGATTAATAAAGGGAGTAAGCCGAAAAGAGAATGAATGAATGAACGTTGAACAACTGAAATTAAAACACACATTGCCTTAACGAACAGTCACTTCTTTCCTATAAAAAGTGAAAATAAATAACTTGGACCTTTGAACACAAAAGGAGCTGTTTTCAATATTTTTCAAATTAAAAGTAGAAAACAAGCAGTCCCCAGTCTAGTATATGCTGTAAATAATATTTTAAACAGTACATTTCTTGAATCTTCTGTAAGCAAGTATTATAATGTAAATAATAATTTTATTGCGATAGAAAATATGTCTTGTCAAGGCATCTCTGGTGCAGTTTCCAATTATCGTCAATGTAGTGCAAACGTGCGAGGTATAGTTACATTTTTTGAGAACTGCATGTGCGAAGCTTAATGTTGATTTCAATTACTTTTCAATTAATCGTCCAGTCCTAATATATTGCTATATACAGTTGAAGTCAGAATTATTAGCCCCCTTTTGATTTTTATTTTCTTTTTTAAATATTTTCCCAAATGATGTTTAACAGAGCAATGACATTTTTACAGTATGTCTGATAATATTTTTTCTTCTGAAGAAAGTCTTATTTGTTTTATTTCGGCTAGAATAAAAGTAGTTATTAATTTTTTTTTAAACATTTTTGGGACAAAATTATTAGCCCCTTTAAGCTAATTCTTTTTTGGATAGTCTACAGAACAAACCATCATCATACAATAATTTGCCTAATTACCCTAACCTGCCTAGTGCACCTTATTACCCTAGTTAAGCTTTTAAATGTCACTTTAAGCTGTATAGAAGTGTCTTGAAAAATTTCAAGTAAAATATTATTTACTGTCATCATGACAAAGACAAAATACATCTGTTATTAGAAATAAGTTTTTAAAACTATTATGCTTAGAAATGTGCTGAAACAATCTTCCCTCCATTAAACAGAAATTGGGGAAAAAATAAACAGGGGTGCTAATAATACAGGGGGCTAATAATTCTGACTTCAACTGTATATAGCAGAAAAATAAAATATCGCAATGTCAGATTTTTCCAATATCGTGCAGCCTAAGTTGGGATTATATTTGACCAGAAACCACAGGTCAAAACACATGAGAATTGTTGGGACACTCAGAATTTAATCATAATAGAGTTAAAGTTTGTCATCTGCAAAGTTTTTTAAGGCATGTTGCTTTGT